GGTTTAGATAATGTTTTAAGTACATTTTCGAAAGGACGCTCACCTTTGACTAAACTATCGCACAACTGTTTTGCGATTGTCAATTGTTTCGCAGCCCATTCAACAACATCTAAACATCGAATGTGTGCTCCATATAAGATCATAGAAATCAAAGCGCGACTAAACAGTTGGGCGATAGTTTTCTCGAAGTTGTGCGCGGTATTATCTTGACAAGCGTCTGGCGCGGATTTTTGTCAAATAATGGTTATTGAAATATTATACGTAGACGAAATGCAATCATGAATCATAAGAAGTACCGAAAACAGAATACATATATATGTTGAAACATAACCAAGGTAACGTCCGTACGATCAAGGACGGTCAGAGTTAAACATATTTAATTAAACGAAATCTAATTTTATATTTTGGTAAATCTATACTACTAATCATACTTCATACTATTATAAATGTAAATGTTTGGACGGATTGATGTATGTTAGAGTTTGTAGCCTAAACTGCTGAACGGATCTCAATGAAATTTGGTATAGATGTAGAGGATAGTCTGGAAGACCACATAGACTACTTAGTTTTTTTTTTTTACCACGCGGACGGAATCGCGGGCTAGCTAGTAATATTATAAAGAGGAAACATTTGTATTTCTGTATATATCCCATTCACGTAAAAACTACTGGGTCGATTTTAAATTTTTTTCATCATAAGAGGGGTAATTTATTTGTAACATAAGCTGTATTTCTCATTATTTTTTAATTTCATGCGGGTGAAGTCGCGAGCAACAGCCAGTACAGTATATACTTAAAACTTTTATATTCAATCATTGTCCGAGTTTAAATATCAAATATGTTGAATGTATGTTTTTATTTAGTTAATAACTTAATGTTTAATTGCAGACATTATTTAATCACAATAATCCGATATTGTTGAGATAATTTTCATGATTAGATAAATTCGCTTTAGTTTACAATGAACATAAATGTTGCATACCTCTGATATTTAGATATACCAAGATTTATAATCTGTGGGTTGCGAACTCCTGGGGGTCAAATAACTCGGAGAATAATTTAACAATTATTATTAATGTACGCTACACACGGCACAGTATATGCGTTAGGGTAAGTGGGCGACTGCCTTGCTCGACAGAAACGGGCGATAAAGGACTGCGAATTGGAGAAGTAAAAAAGGTAGTTCTATAGGCATAATATAGGCCAGGGCGGTAGTGAAAAAACCGGGCGTTGTGAATACACGTACAATAAAATACATTTGACATTTGATATGACACTAGCTTTCGCCCGCGAAGCCGTTTGCGTGGAATTGGAAAAAAAAGTGTGTAGCTTATGTGTTCTTCCAGACTACCATCTAGACGAGATCTATATCAAATTTCATCAAAATCCGTTCAGCCGTTTAGGCTACAAAGTCTAACAAACATCCATCCATCTAAACTTTCACATTTATAATGTTAACTAGCTTTCGCCCGCGACTCTGTCTGCGTGGAAATTAATAAAAACAAAAGTAAGTAGCCTATGTGTTTTTCCATATTGTCCTCTACAACTATGCCAAATTTCACCAATATCCGGTCAGCCGTTTAGGCTACAAACTCTAAAAACATCCATCTGTCCATCTAAACTTTCGCATTTACAATATTAGTTAGATTTATTATTTATCTTTATTAATAATGTTATGTTACTGACTGATAACGAAGCTTTCTAATGGTGAAAGATTTTTTGAAATCGGCCTAGTAGTTTTTGAGTTATTTCAATACATACAAAAATACAAATCTTTCCTCTTAGTATAGATTCCTCCCACATTTCCATTCATCTTACAACTCGTTCAATGCACATAAGGTGCTTCTAGTAATAACAATAACAAATACAATTTCGTGAGGAAAATAGATTTCAATGTCATACAGAATCGTAGCTCATATTGAGTATTTAAGTCGTTCTAAGTCACCATAAAGTTATTTATTGTCTAGCCTATTATTAGCTCTATTATTTGTCCGCGACTCCGTCCGCGTGAAATTTGAAAGTTTAAAACTTACGTTCGCCCCTTTTTAAACTTGACCATGAACTACAGTAAAGAGTATACTGAATTCGTTTCTAAGCTCTATGTATTTTTAACTCTCTTAACTTGAGTTTTAAAGAAAAGAAGTGTGAAAAAATGGAATCTCAATTAATTAATTTTGTAACTTTCTATTAGTGTATGTTTTTTTTTGGCTTTTTATATCAAAGGATCTTTATGTAAAAATTAGTATGCAATATTTCTGCCTCGCTCTCGCTTTTACTGTTGTAATGCTCTTAGCACCTATTTTTACATTTGACGTAAGTTACTATGGAATAATGTTGATACTATTTATGTATGTATGTATGTTGTGTTACAGATGGCGCGCTTGTCGTAGCGCACGATGAGACTGATAAGGGTCCGGTCGACCTCAACATAAGTGATATTTGTAAGTACAAATCTTAAGGTAAAGGTGATTTCTTTGATCTGAACCAGAGGGTGTATCATGAATATTTGATGTGCTTTAGGTCTAGTAAGGGCGCTGTACAAATTTAATACGAATTTCGTCGACGTTACGAAACCCCCTTCTCATGTATATTCGTAATAAACCCTGTGTAATATTTGTGGGACACCAGCCAGCATTATGATTCATTAGATTGTGTTTGTTATTTTTAATATCATTCAGAACTAATGAACAACCACTAAACTTATTTGAAATTTTAATGAACATTTATACTGAAATTTAAAAAATAATTATGATCTTGTTTGTAATGTAATTCAGATAATAATAATAACTAGCTGTTCATGCGGCTTCAACCGCATAAAATTGTGAAAATTTTATTTGTCAAATTATCAATAGCAAACCTTGGCAACTTTTCTTTCTTGATGTTGGCAGCTTTTATCCTAAATATTTACCCCCTAAGTTTATTGGCGTGAAAATATATAGCCTAAAGCATGACGTAAGTGTAGGGCTTTTTATCAAAAGAAGAAATATTCGAAAATACGCTGTAATTGCTGACATCTTAGTCAACAAAGAAGTGTGTGTTTACGTTTTATTATAATACTATAGATTGTTTATATATTATCTGCCAGCTTTTTCCGGGTCCGAATTTTTTTAACTAAGCCCACAGGACAAAGTCCCTTGTATTCTCTCCCCTAATGGTAAATGTATACGAGTGTGTGAATGCGCAGACGCATCTGACGATAACCTTTTCACTCGGCGACTGGACTTCGTGATAGACGCACGCATTATTGCATAAATGATAAATGCATAGAAATCTTGCTTATTGATTTTTTTACATTATACATATGTTACCTATTTATACTTATTACAATATTACGACCATTACTGCAGTATATATTCTGTATAAGTATTTTTTTTTGTCGGAAATTAAAAGGAATTTGCAAATTCTCTAATTCTTAATTTCAACTGATTCTCCCAGCTTCATTAAATTGATATGTTGCAAATAGTGCTCTGGTATTCAATATTTATTACCTAGATTTTATTTTTACATACATACTTAATTACGTAACTTGGCTATGTCAAACGTAGTTAAGACTCTAATACGATAGTATAAGATCGAGTATCGTGTAGCCGTGATGTAATGAATGAACCGAGAGAACAGTTTTCCTGTAGCACAAAAATGGCTATTAATTTGGTTATTGGTAGTGATTGTATTCTAAAATTAACTGTCAATATGACCAAAACAGTTACTAGACTGGATTCAAAATATAACCAAAAAAAAAGAAAAACAAAATCAGTGAAAAATACTTTCTCTATTTACTTATCTGAAGCGATGAATAAATTAAGCTAATTTATTAAATTATATATTAGTTTGGTCAAAGGTGTGCGCCCGCTCTAACAGGACGCAAAGGCATGCGGGAGACTCTCGCAATACAATGACCTTGAGCTTGCATATTTTAAGCGTAATACGTGTCCTGTCTGTGTAATTCAATGATCAATGTTTACTTCTAGTTTAATGACGTTTCAGTTTAAAAAACAGGATAAATATAGATATAAAGACGTGGGCCTTTCATCCCATTTAAATAAATACAATTATCACACACGCATGTAAACGATATACGCGCGAGTATAATCAGTTTACAAACGTAAATGGGAATTCATTTACAACAGCTGATTACTTTTGTTGCCATATTGTATATATTTTTAATCTTTAAGATTTTTTCTCTGGGACGTGACCTCTGACATGTCAACTGGTGATTGCAATATTATTAAAAAAACTATATACTGTAATGTAATATTTAAATTTTTAATTTTCCTTATATTACACTATATAAAAATAACGTTTGTAGTTATGTACGTTTGACGTCTGTGTTCCAAAATCACTGGATAACTTTCATTTTATAAAACTTTGAATTGTTTTTGCAATTTCGGAAAGAGCCAGACAAGTTTTGAATTTTAAAAAATGCTTTTTGATACAAGTATTTAATTTAATTAAAAAGGCTTCCACTTTCAACAATTTCACGTAAAATATGAAAAAACCTATTTGTTTTAATTTAATTAAGTTGTTTAAAGTATTATTTACTTACATTTTATATAACAGATCATACTAATATTATAAATGCGAAAGTTTAGATGGATGGATGGATGTTTGTTAGAGTTGGTACCCTAAACAGTTGAACGGAATTCGTTGAAATTTGACGTAAACGTAGAGGATAGCCTGTGTTGGAGTTTTTATATGTTTGTATACTGGCAGGCAACACTGTACACACTGAGGATGGTTTTTTTAATATTAGAATAATATAATTTAAATTATTAAGAATTCTACATTTGATGAAATATAGTTAGACTTCACATCTCGACACGAACCCAGTAACATTGTAGGACTAATAGACTTTGTATAAAATATGGTTCAGATATTTTAAATATAATGATGATTACTTGAAGAAAGTGTTTCAATAGCCCCACACCTCCAGAGCCCCGGACGGGGGAAAGTAACCGTCCAACAGCCTGGAAGAACACATAGGATAGTCAGTTCTCTTCTTTTTAATTCCACGCGGACGGAGTCGCGGGCGAAAGCTAGTCTATAATATTTCATCCAAAGACAGTGTAACTAGCTAGTATGTATGTTATTTATATACAATTTCGTTATCAAACCGCCAAATATGAGTTAATTGACTTTCAGTTTTATAATATACTGACGTAGAGTGTAAACTGTATTTATTACATATTGAATTTATTATCGGCAAAACGGGAAAATCCAAGTTCAGTGACGTAGCCATTGACAAGAGGAAACCAACGCACGTTTGTTAGTTTGCGTTCCATCTTCGGGGTGGTGACAATCTATCCAGTTTATAAATAATTTTAATTATTACATGTGTAAAATTAAATGTGATCGCAATGAAGCTGTCCACCCCCCATCATACGGTCTTGCGCCAAAACTGGAAGAAACGTTACGTAGATAGAAGTGAGTACTCATTATTTAGCAGTGAAATTTTCGATTCATTTTGTTAAAAGTTAACAGTTTTTGGACAAGTGTGAAGTGGAAATTCAAGCTGTGTGGAGTCCATCTCTATTTAATAGTTTCTCTTATCCGACTCCTTTTCTGTGCGTATTTTCCTCATTTCTAAGTATGTTATCCTCTGTTCTTGTTTCCCCGCTTTGATCCTCAGCAATTTGGATGGCGTTAGCGTAATGATCAGTCCAGCTATAAACAAGTTGCTTAATGTTGGGTTAATTTTCCATTTATTTTACCATTACCTAGTGACTCTTATACTAGGTTAAACTAAATATCAAATGAGTTAAACTCAAGTTACGTAGTTCGGAAACGAATTTCAAGAATTTATCCAACCAAAAACACTAACGAATGGTTAAACGTAGCTGGGAAACAGGCCTTGAATCGTTTAGGATATACTGGTCTATATTGCTTAAAATGTTGACTATGACTAAGTCTTTTGGGGTAAACAGAAATATCTTTCGTATTAGTTATCTGATATAATTATAAATATGAGTTATTAAATCAATTTAATGTAGGAATTAATTTTTCTTTCACATTCATAGGTTTTCGTATTTTTGTAATTGTGTATTTTTCTTGAATGATGCGATTGATTTATATCAACTTTCTCTCCGAGGTTATTAAAGTTTTTTTAACGAATTATTTTATAAATATGTTACGTAAATCATTAACAATTTGTAATTAATGTATCTCATTGTAGTGGTAAAGTTCGTATTTAGTACGAAGTTTATGATAATTTCATATCGAAAGCGATAAGAGTATTTATATTGATAATAACTAATTAAACATTTTAAAAAATGTCTGGTCATAGTAAAATCCAACTTAATCCGATCCAATTAAATTAAATAAATTGTTGAATTGATGAAATATTGTGTGTATGAGTAATGTTTGTTCAGTGGACGCGATTTGTATCGCGGACCCGGCGTTCGATGCGCCCCCGGTGAGCGGCATGCCGCGGCCAGCGCACGCCGCGCCCGTCGTGTCCGCCGCGCCCACACCGCACACCATGCCTGCGCACGGACACCCCGCTGCGCTCGCGCCCACCGCACCCACCGTGCGCATTGTGGAGCAACCCGCCAGCAAAGCACTCAGGTATACTACTACCCAAGGCCTAGGAAAGGATTCTAGAATCATAAAAGTAACCCTCAGTATATCACGATATATTTTAAGGTCATTATTAAGGCTTGTATGAAACCTCAACAATAGAGGTAAGGTAACACATGTTTATTTTATTCACAATAGATCGATGTTCAAACAAACCTGCGTGTAAGCAAATCACCGCACTATATAGGCCGACCATTCCTAAATGTTTATTTTAAGATTCAGGTCGCAGCCTCTGAGATCAACTTCCGATCATGCTGTGTCTACATGCAAGCACATTACTGATCTAAACAGATTTTAAAACTAAAATGGATGTAAAAGTAATAATGTACACTCGGTCAAATTATTAGCATTTGTTTTTCGATCATTAGTACTACAATGAAGGAGACCTCTGAACTACTCTGAGTATAGTTAACCTTTCGTTTGTTTTAGGTTTCGTTATGAGTGCGAAGGCCGGTCCGCGGGCTCGATCCCCGGCGTGAACAGCACCAGCGAACGTAAGACGTACCCTACCATTGAGATCTCCGGCTGCACAGGCAATGCTATCGTTGTCGTCTCCTGCGTCACCAAGGACCACCCCTACAAGTTAGTATTTGTTACCGACAAACTCGACAATCATCAGTTACAGGTTATAGGGACTTTAACAATGATGTGACTCTTAAAACATAGTAATACGCAAAAAACGATCAGTAATGTTCTTAAATGCACAATATGTTTGTAGAAAAGCAATCCCAATTTTCGATTATCTACTTGGCTAATGATTCATAATTCATATATTAATATTATATTCCTGCGATTCATTACGAAGAACAATGCGTGTAAAATACCTTATTAGTCGTCGTGGATGTTTGATATGAAATGTGTTGTAGACCGCACCCCCACAACCTGGTGGGTCGGGAGCGGTGCGAGCGCGGCGTGTGCACGGTGAAGGCGGAGCTGAGCGGCGACAGCACGCTCGTCTCCTTCAGCAACCTCGGCATACAGTGCGTCAAGCGCAAGGATGTCGACACCGCGCTGCGCACGCGCGAGGAACTGCGCGTCGACCCATTTAAAAGTGAGTTAGCAAGTAAACTGCCACAACAACACAACACTAATATGCCCCTGAGCCAATACGCCAATACTCAATACACTAGATCTAGGATGCCCTCGAGAAATTGCCGCAAATAGTCAAACTTCTTACAGCATGTCACAAATCTTTACTAATATCTGTTGCTCGAGCCTTCGCACGCGTCATATTAAAAAATAAACAGAAATGTAACCTATGTTATTCGCTGATAGCGCAGCTTTTCAATGGTGTAAGAATTTTTGGAATCAGTCAAGTAATTTTTGAGATATTCCATTACTAATATCATAAAGGAGAAATTTTTATAATTTCACATGTATTGAATTAATACCTACTGGGGCGTTTTGAATTCTTTTATCTCAGCAACAGCTAGTACTATACATGTTTTTCTGTGTTAAAATAAAAATTAAGTTAAAGAAATGGCAAGGTCAATTTGGGAATGACTAGACAAGCCTAGAGCTTAGTTGGAATCGTAAAAGAAATGTTAGTAGATTTAAAAAAAATCTAATAAAGATAAAAAACACTGCATCGACATTACGTAACGAAAAACAGGAACATGAATAAAAAAGATCAAGAGCCTATCCCACCACTGTCAGATACAGTAACAAAATCCGATACTTCCGTCACATATTTTACATGTTGGATTGTTATATGACAATTTACAAGAATTTAGTAGGACTAAACTTAAGTAAGTCTAGAGTTAGTTAGTTAAAGACTAAACCTTTAGTAAGTCAATCGCTTTATCGGCGCGTGTGCGGCAACAATGCTGCTATTCTTGTCGTAGCTATTTCAGGCACGGTGTTGCCACGCTCCGCCAATGCTGCCCCAATTTCCCTAACGTATGTTTTTAAGAAAATGGCCTAAATCCAATTGCTCGTTCCACTAAAACCTTCCTATAAATAATAGTGTACGTTCAAAAATATAAACATAATGTGTTATTGTAACGGATTCCAATGTTAATTATAAATGCGAAAGTTTAGATAAAGAAAGAAAGAAGTGTATTAGAGTTTGTAGCCGAAACTGCTGAACGGATCTGAATGAAATTTGGCATAGATGTAGAGCATAGTCTGGAAGAACACTTACTTTTTTTTATTCCACACGGACGGAGTCGCGAGCGAAAGCTAGTATGACTGTTGTAAGGATAAATTTTGTACTATTCGTAATTAATTTTATCAATTTGTTCATTTGTGTTTTTTTTAAATAATTCGATGACTACCATAGAAATATCGGTCCTTTGTTCTTTATTTTGGTTCATGAATATGACGCTCGTGGAAACTCCCGACACGACCCCCAGTGTGACGTAAGCAGACTGGGGGGAGGGGGCAGGGAGGAGTAAACGAGGCGAGTGCGCGTGCGTCACGCTGTCTGTATTGTGAGAAGAAATGTAGCTAAATCAGAATAGTGCCCAGGAAATACCAATGGGATGACTGAAAAAAAGTTAGTCGCAGACATGAAATATTGGTGACAAGCTTTAGATGTCATCTCACTATACAATATTATACAAAAGTTTATATGTATGGATGTTTTTTAGTATGTATATTAATGAAATTTCTCACAGATGTAAAACATAGTCTGTAAGAAGTCTACGTTTTTTTACTTTACTCTGACGCAGCCCCGGACAAAAGCTGGTGTTTAACACAGATTGCATAATATTAGTACCATTGACTGTGAATTTTGTTGTTATAGAACCACATTTATACTACATCTTTACTTAAAACCTTTTATAGTTGCGGTAAATACGGCCTTCGTGTTATGAGATTTCAAATAAGCTTTAGACTCGTGGGTCGTGGGTTTGTAGTGATTTGTTGGTGTGTGCAGCGGGGTTCAGCCACCGCGGGCAGCCGCAGAGCATCGACCTGAACGCGGTGCGGCTCTGCTTCCAAGTGTTCGTGACGGGGGAGCGCGGCAAGGTGCGCCTCGCGCTGGCGCCCGCCGTCTCCGACGTCATCTACGACAAGAAGGCCATGAGCGACCTGCACATCGCGCGCGTCTCGCACTGCGCCGGCCCCGCCGCCGGCCGCATGACCATGATACTGCTCTGCGAGAAGGTGCCACACACCTCTCACCTCACACCACCACCTACACCTCGAACACAAATCTTACTAATATTACACATGCGAAAATTTAACTTAGTAATTTACACTGCTGACCAGATTTGGATGAAACTTCACATAGAAGTAGACGATAGTGTGAAAGAAAATAAATTGTTTAGTTCCAAATCTTTTTACTATAAATTAAGGCTCTCTTTTTGTGTAAATGTGATCGAAGCGCCTGTTAACCATGGCCATTAAATGACAAATTAAATGTTAACGAACTCCCACAAAAACTTACTAGACAGTTTTTTGTATCGGAATATTTAAAACAATGCCTTTTTTTAAGTAAACGAAGCAATTTCAATCGAAACTTACAATGTACTCTCCTAGTTTTTGTTCGGCGACGTAGATTTTGTCTAGATCGAATTTCATCGCTGTTTAAATCCGTAAACTTGGTTCGTAATTAAAAAAATATATAGTTTTCTCTCGTACACGTTAGGAATTCCAGCGTGTTGTGTTGTGTGCAGGTGACGGGGCAGGACACCGCGGTGGTATTCTTCGAGAAGAAGAACGAGAAGGTGGTGTGGGAGGCGGCGGCCACCAACGTGCACGTGCACAAGCAGGCCGCCATCGCTTTCGACATCCCGCCCTACCAGGACCCCACGCCGCGAGATAACGTCAAGGTACCGCCGCACTAGCGACACTTGCGACACTAGCGACACTTGCGACACTAGCGACACTAGCGACACTTGCGACACTAGCGACACTTGCGACACTAGCGACACTGACTGCTGCACTAGTGGCACTTGCGACACTGCTTGCGGCACTAGCGACACTTGCGATACTAGCCACACTTGCGACATTAGCCTCACTAGATGCCGCTCTAGCGACACTAGCCACACTAGTAGCACTTGCAGTGCTGGCTGTGACACTAGCGTCACTAGCGCGACACTAGCAGTCTAGCCGAAGCACTAGCTAAGGCATTAGTGCCATTGGCTCCGAAACCAACACACAACCTTTGTCATTTATCGTGATGCCAGCGGCATTTGCGACATTTGCTGGAACATAACGACACTAGCGACACTGGAGTCACCGAATCAATAACAATAGTATCTTTGGTATGACGATGCGATTTGTTTGTAATGTTAAAATCTGTTTGTCATGTTATTACAAACATGTAGTGCAATATGATAGTAATCGTTTCTCAAATATTATAAATATGTGTTATTTTAAAAGACATATGCTTTCATTTATCAATTTCAGTGTTTTTAAGACAAGAATATATAGATTATGTTAGGATGACGTAATTTTAACTAATCAATGTGTGACGGTCGTCCAGTTTACGTAAATCGTAATTTTGGTTTGTCGGCTGCCGCTGCGCACTGCGGC